ATTTGGTACCTGCTATGGTGCCTTTAAGAAAGAGAAAGCGTCCCATGGTGTCGGCCAACTGTCACGTGCATTCAAATGGTACTGTGTTCGCTATCAGTATTGCGACCCTGGATCTTTTGGCATTCTGGTGGCTTGCGAACAATCCCTGGGGGAATCTCTCAGCTGTGTCCCCCCGAAAATGGGTTTCCTGCAGGAATGCAAAGGACACCCTCTCCGCCCACAGGGAGCGCAGCAGGTGAGATATCCGTTTTGAGGCCTCATACATTGTTCGACCAGAACCGGAGAGACGCTGGGGCGAATTCCGAGCCCATGACCAGCGGCCAAGGGGGCAGGGGTGAGGCTGGGCGGCCGCCCCAGGGAGAGGGCAGGAGGTCCCGAGCGCTCTCTTTTGGAGGAGCGAGGGTTGGGCGCGCGGGGGGACCGGGCAAGGAGGACTCAGACGAGGGTTAAAAGTCCCTAAATATAGGGTTTGAGTAGGATCCCGCGTATGGGGTCCTCTGTGACTTAACACCTGTGGCGGAGGCGTTGTGCGGTATACTCTATGGAGAGCAACCCACCCGCCCCCTCACCAGTTCAGTATAGGCGTCCGTCAGAGAGAGCCGGGCCCAGACCGCACCTGCACAGGACCAGGTGCAGAGATTGTGGGGTCCACCTGTTTGTAGATCCCAGGTGGATTGTATGGTCCCTAGTCTGAGTGTTTACGTATCTCGGGAGTTTGTACGTGAACTTTATGTTCCACGTCCCCCGTCCCCCAGACCGGGGCGGCTATAGTGATACCGGAGGCAAAGGGAGTCCTGGAACTGTGTAGTAGTCTGTAGTGTCAGTTGTGGTGTTTCGTCTGTCGTCGGCCAAGAGGGCCAGGAGCTCTTCGGGGTGGTCAGCTATTCTCATCTGGGCCATTATCGGATTCCCCAGGGGAAGGCTCTACTTGCTTACTTTTTTTTTTTCCTTTTTCCTTTTTCCCTTTCCCCCCCTCTCCTTCTCCCTTCCCCTCCTTCTCTATCCCTCCCGCTCCACCCCTCCCCCTTCAAGCAATTACCCCCTTATACACCTACGGGGCTCGTGTGATCCCTCAGTTTTGGGTGAAGGCCCTAGCCCTGACATCCCTGTTTCCTACTCTACCCCTGGATTGTGATTTGCTCCTTTCCTTTGCTTCCCTAGGAGTCGGGGCAAGTACCCATACCATTGGTGAACACCGTATATCAATTCAATACTTGGACAATTTAGCATCCTCCCCTAACATATTAGTACCCATCTCCCCATCCCGTGTTCCCCACTCCCAAGATCTTAGGTCCCCCCCTTGTGGTGTCATCCAATATCGATGTAGCCAGCTGAATCGCGGCCTGTGGTATGCTGGCGGCTTGGTCCTTAATCGCCGATTCTTGTAGGCCTGTGAAGGGTTAGTTAGGTACAGTTTGGCTCAATGTCACCTATGCGGATGTGATCCAAGGCGGCGGGCCTGGCCATTCACCTCCAAGCCGGTCTTGTGCGGTGTATCCATGCCTTTTGCCTGTTCCCCTCCCTATCTCACAGTGAGATCCCTCCCCAGTGTGCTACCTTCATGTGTTCCTGGCCCCTGAGTTTTCCCTTCGTGGGGAATGCTCCTGTGACCATAAGGCTCGGGGGCAGTTAACTGCTTGTGCTTAATGTAGTGTGGGGGGCTTTGCGACTTCAAGTGCCGGTGTCCTGGCATCAGACTTTGCTCCCTTAGTCCCTATCCTTGTGCTCCCTTTCCCTCTTCCCACCCCAAGTGTCCTGGTTAAGCCCGTTGTGCCCTTCTGTCCCCTGTATGAGAATGCGTCCCATATGCCCCCTGTGTATGGTAACTCACCGGTCAACCCTCGGTCCGACGTGGTTCTATTCAGAGCTATTCTTCCGGGCCATCCGGCCCTCCTCGCCTGCGTGGCGGTGCACTCCTTCTGGCTGGGGTGTCAGTGCCTCGCAGTGGGGCCAAGGGGTCCCTTCTCGTAGCAATCACCTCTTCTAGGATCCAATTCCGGACCCGGATTGATGGTAGGTTGAGGGTTCTCAGTAGCCCGGGTATCTCTTTGGGCCAGCGTGCTGTCACCCATGAATTACCATGTATGCTGAACGGAAATCCCCAGCGGTATGGGATCCTCCGCTCTCTCAGGGCGCTGGTTACAGGGCGTAATGCTCGTCTAGCGTCGAGTGTCAAGCTAGAGAGGTCCTGAAATAGAGTCACCTCTGTGCCACAGAACTGGATGGAGGGCGTCCCTCTTGCGGCGGCCATGATTTTTTCCCTTAGGCTGAAGAGGTGGAAACAGCAAATCACATTCCTGGGGCTGCCGTCTTGTCTCGGCGGCCCCAGTGCTCGGTGCGCGCGTTCAAGCCTGATGTCCTCAGGTGCTTCTGCTCCTAAAATCTGCTTAAATAATTCAGTGGTCTGTATAGGATCTGCGTCCCCTTCAGGCAGGCCTCGTATGCGGATATTGTTACGTCAGCTTCTGTTTTCTAAATCCTCCACTTGCCTGCAGAGGGTAATCAGCATGTTGCCCTGTCTTGTCACAGCTACCTCTGTTGCCCTGTGCTGCTGCTCGCTGTCTTGGGCCGCCGCCTTCTCCTCCTCCACCCTCTGCTCCAGCATGGTCAGGTCGGAGCGTAGGCCCGCCATTTCTTCTCTGAACCAGGGTGCCCTTGTCTGCTTTAGATAGCATTTGCTGGGATATCTGTGTGAGCTCTGTTCTTATTTGAGAAAGGGCCCCTGCATAGTCACCTCCGGATAGGGAGTCTCACGTGCTCTCTGATCCCGGAGAGGTCGGCGCCATCTTGTCGGCAGGGAGAGAGCCTCTCAGCTCCACAGGCGTTGCAATGAAATCATCCATCAGGCCCGTATTCCGCCGCGGGGAGTTTGTTGGCTGCGTCCCCGGTACTGACAGTTTCTTGTTCCGGACCATTTCCCTCTGAGTATGGGCTGTATATTGCTCGATTTCTCGGTCTGGGGTGCGGAGCTCCTTTACCGTGCGTCCTGCACCATGCTTGTCCAGGCCACGCCCCCAGACAGTATTAATTGCTAACAGAATGGGAAGGGGACAGATGGATGGGAGTTATTTCTAATGAATTCTTCCAGGGAAGAGATGAATGTGGGTGATAGCTTGGCTAATGGAATTGGGGTAGAGAAAGGATGAATTCAGGTAATGGCCAGGTGAGTGGGATAAAGAAGGGATGAATGTGGGTAATGGCTAACTGAGTGAAGTAGAGAAGGGATGGATATAGGTAATGGCTAATTGATGGTGGAATAGGTTAGGGATGGTTGTGGGTGATGGCTAATTGAGTGCGAAGGGATGAATACATGTGTGTGTTTTGGAGTATTTATCTCTGTGCGCTTACATGTCTAAGAGCAGTGGCATAACTACCACCCATCACTCCAGGTTGCCCAGCCACAGCTGCAACCCCTGTATCCGTGGGCCGCCTGCATACCTTTAGGGCTGGTGCACTGCCGCGGGAACGGGCTGACCGGCAGGAGGGCTGCACTGTGCTGTGCTGCTGCCCTCCTGCTGCTGTTTGTAACATGACTGACCGGATCGGTTTGACAGGAAGTGCTCACAGAGAGAGGGGTGGAGAGAATGAGACACATGGAAGGCTGGGGGGAGAGAGTAAATGAGACACATGGAGGTGTTGGGGGGAGGGAGGGAATGAGACATGGAGGAGCCGAGCGAGGTAGGGAATGAGACGCATCATGAAGGGGCTCAGGGTATAGGGAAAGATACACATGGAGGAGTTGGTGTGGAGGGAATTAAGGATCTGGGGGGAATGGAATGAGGCACATGGAGGGGCTGGGGTGGATGGAATGAGACACATAGAAGAGCTGGGGGGAGGGATGCATGGAAGGGCCTGGGGAGGAAATTAGATGCAGGATGGGGCTGGGGGAAGGAATTGAGACTCTTGGAGGGACACGGGGAATGAGACACTTTATGGGGGAAGGGCAGTGCTATTTTCGCTCCGGGACCTAGTTACACTTCTGTTGAAGAGTATGCATTTCTGTGTGTATGTGTTGGGCAATATATAGCTCTCTATGTGCTAACAATAGTCAAATAATCTCATCCTGATTCCAGTACAACTCACTTCCATTTTTACAAACAGTTCTCTGTGTCTCTTTGTTCTTTGTATGAGTTCATCAAAAATTAGAATCCTTACTCCTCTTTACTGAAGTATTTTGTATTTATGGATGTGAACCTATATGTATATGGAATGTGTCTGGTCAACTATTAAAACAAGCTTTTTAGCAGATGGTACAGGCAAACCCCATGTTTGAACAAAACTATTAAATAGCTCTGTAGAATGAGTAGGCCGTCCACACTTTAGAGATTAGTCTAAATCCAATCTGGATTAAAGTCATTCAAGAATAATAAATGGAAAGACAGCGTAAAATTGGATGCTTCCATGTCTAATCTGAAGAGATGAATTAAAAAAAAATAAATCATTCCATTTTGGATGTTGGTCACTGTGAACCTGTTTTATATTACTTCACTATTATCCTGCTTCAATATTCACATGCACATAACCTGCATCACGTGTGCAACATTGCCTTCGTACTGTTTGGCGTTGCAGAAATTACATTCACCTATTAGATGCTTGCTAGGGCTATATGAACCCATTCTGCACATTTAACTTTTCTCTGTCTCGCTTTTCCCTGGCAGTGATCCCAGAGAGTGTGTTTCATTTCTTGTTCATTTTCTGGTATCCTGACCCAGGATATTTGCCTGTCTATTGTCAAGGTATGTGTTTGTGAGGTTAATTCACTATAGATACAATGTACATGGGAAATTGCTCTGTCATTCTGGCCAATTTCATTGTGCAACTTTATCATACAGCAGTTTTTTTTTTTGCTCTTTTTTGTGTGTAACCAAAAGTTCCTATTAATTTTAGTCTTATTTATCTCTCCACAGCTTTTAGCAGATAAAAAGCAGCTTGAAGAACACGCAATATAGGAGAGTGTGAGAACAAGCCAAGGTCTATGATTACAGAGTCACGTAGATGGTAAAATAAGCCAGAGTTAAGGAGCACGGAATGTCTCTGTATTAAAAAAGTCTAAGGACCAGTAATACGCAACAATCCACATTCTATATTTCTACCTTAGTTCTGCACGTTGGACTTATTAGTATCCTGACAAAGCTAAAAATTGTGGCTGAAGAGGTAAATATGACTAAAATGATTAGGGAAAATAATCATAGGAACCGCACTCACTCCCAGCGGCCACCCGTGCTCCGGAACAGGACAAGGTTGAAAAAGACCTCTTAGTAGGTCGAAACGTTGTTTCAATAAATCTGCCTGCGGCTTTCACACTTTGAGTGCCTGGAAATCTTTCTTGCTGCCTTAAAATAATTAGGGGACTAGACTGTTGGGGAAAATATGATTATATATATATCTGTTTAATATGTGCTTGATTAAGTCTGTGTGTATGGGAGGTCAGGAATTATCTTCAAAGGGAGTTTCTGTTTAGATAGTTGGAAAGATACAGCACCTGAAAGGCACTGATAACATTTACATATCAACTGGTCTTCAAAGGAGTCTCTATCTAGGAAAACACACCTTAGGTTAGGGGCAAAGGGATGGCTGGGAGAGTTAACACTTAAATAAAATAACAGGATAGACAACACTTTGGGCCTTGGGAAAATAAATCACATTTACATATCAATTGAGCTGAGGAATTTGATATTTACAACATGGGAACCAATTCCTTTAAAAATAGAAGATACTGGGGGTGCGGAGCTAAGCAGCACACGGAGACAGACGCTACTCAGCACGGCTCCGACCAACTCATCGACAAAATCCTCAATTCTAACGAGAGAAACCCACCACACACACACAAAAACCCTGGATCTATACCCGGGAGGACTCACCGAACACGCAGATGCCCTTTTTGTTCGCGGCGCCATCCAATAACCGACGCCGAGGATCTCGGGCCTACCGCGTGGGAAGCCGACGGTTCACTCGAGATGGAAGCTTCGAGGCAACCCTCGACTTATTCACCAAGCACATAATCGGTGCATCCCCCGACGACGCAATGGGTTGGAAAAACCCAAGGCTAAGCCAACTGGCGGGCAGAGAAGGCCAAGACATCGGGTAAATGCTCACCACGGCGCAAGAGACAAGAGACACGGCGCCCCAGGGTCCTGCGGCCCAACACACTCTAATGGAGGACTCCATCCCAGACCCAGGGTCCCTGCTGTCGAAGGACAGTGACGCTCCGTCCACAAAGGGGGACATATATAACCTGTTCCTACACATGCAGAAGCTCTTCACAACAGAGATTGCTGCAGTGAAAAATAAGATACAGCAGGTGACCACCAGGCTCCACACCTCAGAGGCAGGCAAAACCTCACTGAAACAGGACATGGACAACCTGGGGGACACCATCCAACACCTCAGCTCCTCTTACTCACATCTGTTGAGCAGAATGGAGCAATTAGAGGACAGAAGTAAGAGTAAAAATATCAAGATGAGGGGAGTTGCGGACACACTTCCCCCGGAGGAACGTCCACACTTTGTCCGGCGCCTGATCGCCTTCCTACTACCGACGCGATCAACCAAGCAATTCTCCTTTAAAGGAGTTTACCGCATCGCTAAATTCCCCCAAGCGCCCACCACCTCAACTCAAGATATCATATTATGCTATCAGTCCCATGCAGACAAACAAAAGATCTTCACAAAAACGCCACTGCAATTTGAATCATATTCACTCACCTTTTTCCAGGACCTCTGCAGAGCCACGCTACTATGGAGAAAATCCATGCAACCAATCACCAAAGCCCTTCAAAACACAGGACTGGCATACCGATGGTCCTACCCCAGAGCTATCACAGTGATCAAAAACGGGACACACTACAAGGCCTCAGGCCCATTGGACTGTGCAGCTTTCCTAAGGGCTCTCGAAATACCAGCAACGCAAGCTAACCTGTCCACCACTGCTGATTGGGACATGAGTAACATCACCCCCTTCAAACCCAGGAACCGACAGGACACTGACACCTGATTGCTGACACGCACCCGTTCTCCTAAGTTGTTGTTTAATTTTTTTCTCCTTGTAATTTAGGGCCACCCTAGCCCGTACAAAACTTGGGACTTTGGCGGACAATATTTGATTTATGTTTGACCGGGACTCTAAGCTGATTAATGTGATGTTCCACACTCTAATGGTTACATGCCGATGTTGCCTTTAATGTACCAAGGGTTATCAACGATTGCATTTCTATCTTCCGCAACGCAATTTTGGTTAGAACTTCTTGTAGATTTACATGACGCCTCACCACACCTCTCCCCTCCTTCCTATAATGAAGGAGGTGGAGCAGGCACTGAGCTGTCATCTGGAAATTGCCTCTGCTGTGTGAGCAGCAATACGAAATGCAGGCAACTGTTTTTCTTTCCTGTCTGCGGTCATTGATCAGGAGTGGTCACTGCTTGGGCTATGTGGCTCACCAGCTCTGCTTCCGAGCGCCATAGGGGATCCTCCATGTTTGGGCCAGTGGAGTAGGTAAGCCGCCACCGGCCATTTTAACGAGGCCACGTGGGAGCCGTTTACTTTCGGCGTTGAGTCGCCCTGTATAGATTGATGGTATCTTACCTGGTGGAGACCGGGATAACCCCCACCGGCCCAGAAGGGGGTAAACGAGACCGGGAGGGTGCCAGCTATATTGTCATAGTAGCCAGGTTGAAATGCAAGGCAACGGCCATCTGCCCCGCTCTCCTCCCGGGTAGGCCTCAGGTCCCAAGCCCCAGAATGTCTCTCCAGGACCCAGATTCACCTGATATCAGGTGCTCCAGCTGCACCAGGACACTACAGGACTCTGTACCCTGAATTCCTAGAGTTTTCAATCAGCATAAGGTGGGTATTTTCCCCTAATTTAGCTATATTTCTCAGGAGCTCCAGTGACCTGCAACCTGTCAGCATGGCTGCCCGGCCCCACCCCCCGTGTTCTCTACTTTTTATGGTAATGCTTGCAAACAGAGGCGGCTCTAGACTTTATGAGGCCTTAGGCGAACTTCAAGCATGAGGCCCCACTTACACCCAAAGTATAAAATAATAGGGTTGTATTTTGTATAAGTGTAAGGAGCATTTGCTATATCGAGAGGCGTGCTTGCAGCACTGGATACAGAGAGTCAGTCTCTGCATTCATTGTTCAGAAGCGTGCAATGTCAGAGCTTCCTGTGCCCCTGCATTGTGAGCTCTCTGGCTATAGTTGTAGCACATTTTGCAAACAAAATTAATTTGCAATAAATAAATTTAATTTGCAATTATGCCAATCGTTTATACACAATTGTAGGGTATGGTCACATAGCCCGGCAGTCGTGTATAAATAAGTACTGGTGTGAAGGGGTTCTCGAAAACAAAAATGAAAATTTAAGATTTAAGTGACGGTAAGTGTGGCATAGTTGGGGAGGGGTGAGTATTACAGTTTTGGAGTGAAGGGTGAATGTGGCATGGTTTGAGGAAGGAGTGTGCCAGGATTAAGGGGGTTAATGAGTGTGGCAAAGAGAGGGCAGGTGAGTTTGGAGGGGGTGAGATTAACAGGACTAGGAGTGGTTAGTGAGAGTGTGGATGCATGAAAGGGCTGAAAGTGTGGAGGGGGTGACAGTGTGAGGACTGGTGACAATGTGTGGGAATGTGACAGTGTATGAGTATGGTGACACCACATTGTAGGGGTGACAGTGTGTATAAGGGAGAGTGACTGTGTGTGAAGGGGATGATACTGTGTGTGTGAGGTGGTGACAGTTTGTGTGTGTGTGGAAGGGGTGATCTGGTGAGGGAGGGGGTGATAGTGTGTGGGATATAGGGGCGATAGTGTGTGGGAGGGGGTAATACTGAGAGGGAGGTAATATACTGTGAGGGAGGTGGGTGATACTGTGAGGGAGCGGGGTCATGGTGTGTAGGAGGGGGGAATACTGTGCAGGGGCAGATCCAGAGCCTGATCTCAGGAGGGGCACTTGTAGATTATTTAAAGAAATAATCCAGGCACAATAACCACTACAGCTCAGTGTAGTAGTTATAGTGCTAGTAGTGCCAGGATCCCATCTCAGAGTAAGTAGTCAAACCGTTTAAGAACAGTTTGACAACTTACCTGGGGTCTGCTGGGATATAGGGTATAGGAGCAGTGGTATGTGTTAGGGGTGAAGTGTGTGTGAAAGGTGCAGTGTGTGTGTGTGTGTGAGCGGTGAAATGTGTGTGCGAGTGCGTTAGGCGGCAGTTTATGTCAGGGTTCCAGTGTGTGTGTTAAGGGGCAGTGTATGTGTGGGGCAGTGTGTGAACGGGGCAGTGTGTGTGTGAGAGTTGCAGAGTGTGTATGGGGGGGAACTGTATGTGTGTTTGGAGGAGTGTGTATGGGGGGGCACTGTATGTGTGTGTGGGCAATGTGTGTTTGTGTGGCAATGTGTGTATGAGGGGCAGTGTTTGTTGGGCAGTGTGTGTATGGGGGCAGTGTGTGTATGGGATGCAGGGCAGTGTGTTTAGTGTGTGTATGGGGGCAGTGTGTGTAGTGTGTATGGGGGGCAGTGTGTGTATGGGGCAGTGTGTGTGGTGTGTGTATGGGGGCAGTGTATGTAGGAGCA